CATTGTACAGCTTTGCTCATACCTGATATTTGAGCAAGATCATGTATAACACAAGTAATAAAAGTTGTTTGGGTTTGTTTTGACAACAACATTATTAATATTGGCATCTCATTTTGTAGCCGTATATGAATAATATTAAGCTGAACTTGTAGATTGGATTGGGTTTAAAATTATCTAATATTATTCTACAGTACAAACTAGATACCATTATGACAAGACCAAGACAAATTTTGGATTTAAACTAGGAAAGACCAAAGAAAATAAATAGGTTTTTATAAGTATGGATTATCAATTATGTCAGAAAGCTGAAAAATATAAATTGGTGGTAGCAGTAATTTCTCTGAGTCACTGCCTCAAATATATGATAGCTCTGACTTTGGGAGCTCTCTGTAACCTTTATCTACATCACAGTGCGAATAACAAGAGGTTTACTTTACTAGTTGTTTGGATTAGTGACTCAAAGTTTTAGCCTGTCTTGAGTGCTCTAAGCACAAGAGTTAAACTCTTCTTCTTTGTACTTTTTTTTTTCTCTATTTCATTTTTCATTAAAAGAAATGAATGAAAAACTGTAATGTGCTACTTCGTTATGCAGGTGGTTACCGTTAAAGGTGACAATCCAGATGCACTAGTTCCTGGATTGATGGCTGCTGGGGAAACAGCCTGTGCATCAGTCCATGGTGCTAATAGGCTTGGTGCAAATTCACTTCTAGATATTGTTGTTTTTGGCAGAGCTTGTGCAAATAGAGTTGCAGAAATCCATACGCCAGGCAAGATTCTTTTTTAGTTATTAAAATGGATTGTGGGCACTGTACTAGAGTGATAAAAATGCATCTTTTATTCAATTTGCAGTAGAGAAACAAAAACCTTTAGAGAAGGATGCAAGATTCTTTTTTAGTTATTAAAATGAATTGTGCGCACTGTACTATAGTGATAAAAATGTATCTTTTATTCAATTTGCAGGAGAGAAACAAAAACCTTTAGAGAAGGATGCAGGTCAGAAAACAATTGCATGGCTGGACAAATTGAGAAATTCAAATGGTTCATCGCCAACTTCAAAAATTCGGTTGAATATGCAACGAGTAATGCAAAACAATGCTGCTGTATTTCGTACACAAGAAACTTTAGAAGAAGGTAATTCATTTCTCGTCAATTGTACGTTATATCCTTCTACTACAGTTAGTTCCTTTTGTACAAGGTGTGTTTCACTCTTGCTGATTCTATATCTTTCTTCTTACTCCGAACTTCATCTGCCTCATTACAGGTTGTCAATTAATTGATAAAACATGGGAAAGCTTCCACGATGTCAAGTTGGAGGACCGAAGTTTAATATGGTAAATCCTTTTTAGCAAAATTTCAGTATTACTGATACTTCAAGGAATCTGCTTGTTCATTTTAAAAGTTTATTGGCTATATACTCACAGGAACTCTGACTTGATCGAGACTATAGAGTTGGAAAATCTTTTGATAAATGCCTGCATCACAATGCACTCTGCTGAAGCCAGGAAAGAGAGTAGAGGAGCTCATGCCCGTGAGGATTTCACGGTTAGTTTAACCCCTGTGTGCAAATTTCTTATCATTAATACAAATACTGTTATTGAATATATTTTTGGATTTTGCAGAAAAGAGATGATGAGAACTGGATGAAACACACATTGGGGTAAGTCATGTTTCAATAAGATGATTTATTAATTTTATATTGCTACTTGGTAAGGTTGTTCCCTAAGAAAAGGAATTTGTCCATTTTTTGGGATTTGGTGGGAGTTGTGGAAATACATAAGAACTCTTGCATGAAAATTGAAAAATAGATGTAACTCCAATTATTTCAGAAATTTACTAGTTTGATTCTGGAAAATAGCTTCTATGCAAAAATGCAAGGATAAAAATGTATATATTCAACCCTCACCCCTACCTTCATTAAATTTAAAATTAAAGTATTAGGATTGATATTATTTTAACAAAAAATAAATATTTATTAAAAATTTAAAATATAATATAAAATTAAATTAGTAAAGAAAGTGCAAATTATATGTATATATACATGTATAAATTATATGTATATATACATATATGAAATTTTCATGTGATTTTTATGAATATTTTCATGTGATCTTTATAAATATTATTTCATGTGATGTTAATGAAAATTTATTTCATGTGATGTTAATGAAAATTTATTTCGTATGATCTTTGTGAATAATTTTCTTTATCTTTTATATTTTAATTTGATTTGGGTCTATAAATTTTAGTTTGCAACTTGATAGGCCTTACAGATTGTATTAGATTTTTTTATAATAGGTCAGGGCAGACTTATAAATCAAGTCTTTAATAGTCTAATAGACCAGTGTAAGCTCTAAATATTTTATATAGGCTTAGGCTATCAAAGCTAAAGCCTGACCTAATTTGGCCCATTTATACCCCTAGTGAAGAACATCAACATAGAGGGACAACAAACTTCACATTTAAAAAGAAACATGGAACAATCAGCGACAAATGTCTAAAACCATTTAAATGACATTGGATCTACATAAATCGTTTAATCAGTGTTTAGATGTCTTAAAAAATTTTAAAATACAAAAAAAAAAAAGAAGTTAATGAATATGTAACTGAAATTTTCAATCTCCATATATATACATATATCGTCATTGATTTTTCTCTTTAACAGTTTTCACTGATTAATTGCCAAAATTCTTATTCGTGTTGTGAAATCAAATACAAATAACACCAAGAAACAATTTAATTCCATTACCAATAGCAATTGTAGCCCTGCATTAAAATATATATTTAAAAAAAAAAGATAAATGTAAAACAACACTCCATTTTTTTAAGGGGTAAGATATTGTAACAACCAATTAGTGTTACTACCAATCAATTTCACCGTCAGATCGATTATGTTGATCTAACGGTTATATTTATTTTCATTTTTGTATAGTTATGATTCCCCATATTTAATGTGAAAGCCTTAAATATAGGAAATCATAACCATACAAATGTAAAAATAAATTTAAAGTATTAAATATGGAGAATCATAACCATTTTAAGATGGAAATAAATATAACCGTTGGATCAACATAATCGATCCAATAGTGAAATTAATTGGTAGTAACCGTGATAGTAATAATAATTGGTTGTTACAATATCCTTTCCCATTTTTCAAAAAAAATAAAATCAATAAATACGACCACACACAAAAAAAAGTATAAAAAAAGAGGCATGAATTTCACTCATGTTAAAAACACCCAATAAACAATTATGGTCAGCAAAGACAAAAATATTTCTCTTTTACAAGGTTCAAAAATATAAATCAATTTTTTCCATAATATAATTACCAATGCATATTCCAAGAACATGTATTCCTAAAATCTTGAGAAAGGAATAAAACATCGTACCTTGTCGTAGAATGACTAGGTTCCGAGCGGTGAGTGCGAATAAGAAAAAAAAAAGGCTAGAAAAAGATCCTAATTGGAAAAAGATGAAAGAAGAAGAAGAAAGCAATCTATTATATGGTCATCCATGCAAAGCAGCTCCAAATCTTTGTCTGTTATCATTGTTATAATTTTAGCTAGGATCAACTTACAATTTTAAGTTGGGCGAATTATAATTACTTATATAATTATATATACTAAATAACATTTGTAGCCTAAATATAATGTGGGTACGGCACTGTCCCTTCCATTCCCTCCAACCAAGCATGCACCTAGTGTATCTAGGCCATTTGCTTAGTAGAGCTCGACTCTTATAATGGTGAAGCAGCCAAGCAGCTCATTTTGGTTAACAGGCTAGCGACAGAATAGTGGAAATAATAATAGTGATTTGGTCCTTCCAACTAATCCTTGCTTGCAGATCTTCAGTAACCCAAGTAATTTTTATTCCAAAAAAAAACATGAGCTTTTATGTCGTTCTTGACCAATGCTGTTCCCCTCTAATGGGCACCAAATTCTTAAGTGGCAGAATAAACCCAAAATTGAGCATGCAGTGTTTTTTTTGGTGGCAATATACTATCATTGTCTCTGTTTGATAGTGATATTTTACTTAGTGATGACAATTGACTTAGAGCTGTAAGAATAATGGTATTTTGCAACCTATTAGAAAAGTTAGAGCAGTCATTTGGTGTGAGGGAGATATTTCGGGTATATTTCTGACCACGAGCATGGTCTGCGTCAAGAGACTAACTAATGTAAATATGATTAAGATGGAGGTCTGAGAATGATTAATACTTTTAACATGTCCCCTCAAGTAACACAGCTATTTGGGCTTCTAAATACGGTTGACAAGGATCAAACTAATTTATCATGACTATAAATGCTTTGATGCAATATCAAGAAACCAAATATTCTCAAAGGTTAAGTTCTTAGGTGGAATCGGCTAACATCATAGACATGATTTTGATTTCGGTAAATTTGTTACAATGACTTTATTGAGGAGAAAATACTTACATCAGTAATAGCTAAGCTTTACTGCATTAATTTGCAGATTCTGGGAGAACGAGAAGGTCCGGTTGGATTACAGGCCGGTCCATATGAATACATTGGATGATGAAGTTGAATCATTTCCTCCTAAGGCTCGTGTGTATTAAGCTACTTACTAATGAATGGCTTAGGCGTATTGTTTCATTGTGAAACGACTAGTGCAAGTGAAAAAAGATGCAATAAATCGTTGTAGATTCATTATTTTGATTTGTGATGATAATTGTTTATTCACATCAATGTTAACTGATATTCTAATAACTGTATTTGCAGCAGAGAATACTAGCAATCAATAAATTTCAATAACTCTTTGAATGTCAAGTTTTTTTAAGTGCGTACTGTGGGCTAAGTTGCGCATTTGTATTTATGTCGCTTTTATTTTCTAAATATCTGTTATGTGATAATTTAATTTAGGGGTTGCTTCCCTCATTTAAGATGAGCACAAAATTGAGACACATAATAAAATCATTTTTTCTACAAAATAATTCTTATAAAACCCTTTAATTTATCCAACAAAGGGGTGGATGGGAAAAGTAAAAGTGGTTTTTATGAGAGACAGGTTTTTTTTCTTGCTCTTCCATAGTATGCAAACTCGCTGAATATACATTTGCTATGAATAGTACACAACACATAATATTTTGATTAATTTAAACTTAAGTTACAAGCGAAAGAAAGCAAGAAAGTAAAGTCATGAAGACTGATATCAAACACATGCATAAACCTATACCCATAATTAACTTAAGCGTTGGCGCTGGGCTGATGCCTCGCTTTTTCCTTCTCCTTCACCTCGCTTCCCTGGGTCTTGTCATAAGCTTCATGAATATACCAAGAGAAAAAAATAATCATCAGCCCAGGATTATAAGTAGGAAGGCTACTTAATTTTCACTTCGATCCCAACAAAGGGAATGAGACAATCAAAGAAGGCAAAAAACACAAAACAAAAAGGTAGTCAGTCATGTTTGATAAACAATAAACCTGGGTGATTGACATGGATGAAATTATCCGTCTCAGTCTTAGGATCGGATTGGTTTCCACCATAAATCCCACCAAATCCTTCCTCATCAGACCGCGTAGCATACCCTTCCCCAAACGAATGAGACATCACATCCCTTCACAAAATTAATCTCAGGATACAACTTAATTAATTAGAAAACCCAATAAGAAAATATATACATGATAATTAGATTAGATATATTATCAGAACTCACCCATGAGTAGTTTCCTCATTCGGTTTCTGAGTCTTGTCCATCTTATGAGCACTATCCCTATCAGGTTTGGTGCAGAATCTAACTGCGGAAGTTTCCCGACCGAGGTTGGAAGAGAGAGATCGTGGGAATGAAGCTGGTTGGTAGGTTAAAACCGTCTTGATTGTGTGAATCATCTTTTTTCTGTGTCGATATTTAAAAGCTTATAGCAAAGGTAGAGAATGGTATTATTATGATTTCGACAGGGCACGATAAGTTAAGATATCTGCAACACTGTAACAACGCAATCTTAACACTTGCTATACATGCTCCAGGAAAATCTAGTATTTTCATGACACGACATCTGGTGTCTATTGGACACATGTCCTTCCACATAAACCCTTGCGTGTCACAACGTGGCTATTGAACATTTGAGCTTTTAGCATGCATGCTACTTCAATTCAGCTTTGCAGACAGTACAGTACGCTAATGGAACAACCGAACAAACGCCACGTTCTAGTCAGGTAGCCCCTGTGATGAAATTTTTTTTAATATATACAACCGTTGCACTGATTCGGTCATATTATTATTTTTGGTAAACAATTCGTTTATTTTATAATTATGTATTTATAATAATAAAATTATTATTTTTCTCTTTTCAAATATAATCGATTTTATAATTTATTTATAATAATAAAATTATTTTTTTTCTCTCTTTTCTCTGTCTTCAAATATTATCGATTGATATGGAAAAGATATAAATAATTTTATCATTAAAAATAATATAATTATAATAGATCATTACATCGAATATTCGGTGCAATAGATGTATGGAAAATTGCTCTCCTGTGGTGGATAAAGTGTTTATAAATCTAAGGGTAACACGTGGATGAATTAAGTCAGCCACATACCGTAGACTCGTGAGTAACATTTGAACGACATAATCATATATAACACCAATAAACACGTTAGCAAAAAATTACTATGCGAAACCGCCGCTGAAATTGAGATATCATTTAAAGACAAAGAGATCCAATATCTGAAGTTTTTGTTTGTATATTATATGGATGATCCGATCCGCAGGGACCATGATTGGATCCCACGAGTGAATAGAAAATTGGATCTCACCTGAATCGCCCCATCTATCTTCCTGAGGAGAAGACATGTGATGATTTTCTCTTCTAACATTCTTCGATAATTGTGTTATTTTTTTCTTTTCTTTTTATTTTTCAGGTGATGGAGCTCACAAATTTATCTCTAGAATATGAGATAACTTATCTCCTTTAATATGAGATTAATAAAATCCTAAATATTATCCTGTTTTATTTAATATGATATGTTCATATGCAAGAATTATAATTATATAAAAATAAAATAATAATAAATAATTTTGTAACTATTTATCTATTATTATTTTTCTTTTCTTTTATCATTATTAGTTCATCTTTATATAATTACAATTTTTCAACATAATCATGCAATCTTATGTTAAATAAGACATGAGTGGATCGGGACGATGACACAGCATATTCAGCACAGTTTGTCTCAGTCTTTTCTTTTTTGATAATTTTGATCGCACAGTTCGAATTCTCACTCCTTCAAGATTTCAGTGGAAGATTACAGTTACTCTAAAGAAAAAGGTACATGACAAAGAACAAGAAAGATTGTTCGCCTCGTTCTTCCTATATTGTCAAAGATGGAACGGATAAAGCATTGCTCGAAATTTTAAGAAGCAAACGGTTAACGATTAATTCCCTTGGCTTCATGTAAGAACTGCTAATTCGAGATAAAAAAGGATGACGTAAAGTTTAAAATGCTATAAATGTTCTCTAAACATTAAATCTTTCGAAAATTAAAATATTAGGTAAAAGCACATAAGTAATTTGCTAAATGATTTGATCAAACTAGTTTTTTCACGATTCATATGGCCATATTGGTGATCTCTCATGTATGGGGGAACAAACTCTTTTGACATTTGACAAATGAGAATGTTGATCGGAAAATTCACAATAAGATAATTAACTCGAGATATATAGTCTTTTTAATTGAGTTCTAAACTGAATCAGAATGAGAGATTCAAATATGTTTCCCAAATGGGTTATAAATGAATTGATCAAACTAGTTTTTTCACGATTCATATGGCCATATTGGTGATCTCTCATGTACGGACAAACTATTTTGACATTTGACAAATGAGGACGTTGATCGGCAAATTGACAATAAGATAATTAACTCAAGATATATAGTCTTTTTAATTGAGTTCTGAACTGAATCAAAATGAAAGATTCAGATATGTTTCCCAAATGGGTTAAGCACATTGATCTAAAGGAGATAAATGAGATAATGGTATGGATCAAAGCTCTGCTAGGTCTCCGACTAGCCTTAGACGAGCTGAGGGTGCTAAAGGGGGAAGATGAGTGTGGGCTACGATTATGGCTCTCGAGTAAGTTTGGCAATGTAACGATAGTGGAGAGTATAATGTGGAAGATGAATAGTAAAGGAACTAAGACTCCTTTTTTATAAGAGGTTAGAGATTCCATCCTGGTGCATAAAGTATGAAGCCATAACCGTTTTGGTCGAGCAATCTCTTCTCTTTGCTTTGTTCAATAGAGTCTTACCAAACAAGACCGGCTTCTGACCAATCCGTGAAGGGTTGTGAAGTTGGACCGCGCGCCAAATAAGGATGCAAGAACAGGAGCTCCTCTATCCACAACATCCATCTAAAAGGGATGCATTTACCTGAGCGTTTCACCAAAAAGAAGCATTCCTCCAATCGGCTTATTTGCCTCTCTTCTGTGGCACTAGCCCTATAGACCCCACTAGGCATGAGGTAGCATGGCCCATCACGTGTCAAGGGCCATATTTTCAAGGAAAATGTGGGGGGAAACGCGTGTACAAGGGAGCTATGTACTCCACGTGTTAAATAAAAGCGAACCTTTTGGGCAGTATAGGCCCTGGCTGCATAGGTTCATCCAGCCAGACCAAAACAAATTCATAACGCAATTTATACTAACAAGAGGACTTGAATTTCATTATTTTGTAGTGACATCACCCTCAATATGTTAAGATTGGCGACAGATCTATTTTGAACAAGCCATTAAACTCAATTCGTTGACTCATTTTAGGCTTAATTCAAGGGTTTATCCCTCATTTTTCTTGTACACACACCTCACACTCTTGTGAAAGCGCTTAGTCTATACACCGGGAGGGACCATGTAGGCGTGGCAATTGGCAGAGATCATAGACTCTTAATGGCTTTGACAGAGACATTACTCGCCATAGAACACAAAAAGGAACCACTCCACCTTCTTCCTCCCTCCTCCGGTATCTCCAATTCTCCAAACTTACCTAGTTTTTATCCTACTTCTACAATGCTTTTACACACCTTCCCATCTAAGCTTAGAAGTATGGTGAGCTCTAGCACACTTAGATCTTAATTAGAGCTTTGATAGTCTATATCATAATTCTCTTGGACTATTGTTACATTAATATATCATTCTTTATGTGGGAGACAATCATAATCGCTAGACATCATCATTCTCTTAATCTTATTTAAGGTCAGGTTCCATGTAATGTTATTGCAGAATATGTTTCATATATGATGTAATGATTCCCACATTTTTTAAAGGGAGTTAACGATTATTTAGGACAGTGATTTGAACTTGTTTCTTACTTTTATTTTTTTATTTTTTTAAAATAACTTTATATTTTGTGCTTAAACGACGATAATCTCCCATTAAATGTTGGGGTTGGATCCCAAAATCTTAACCTCTTAAAAAGAATTTAAAGTTTTACCAATATATTTTAATTAACACTCCTTTTTCAATAACAATTCCTGAAGTAGACCTAAATGACTCCTAAAAAATGAATTACTCTAAAGTGAAAATAAATAGCGTTAACCCTGCGCGATTAGAAACAAAATTCTCTTACCACCATTAATTTCTTTAGATTATATTCCCCATTTTCCTTTAACTACTTTGATTACCAAGAAGGTTGGTATAAAGTTTTTTTGATCAAAACCATAAACCATTCCGTTATATCCAATCTCTCGGTCCCTGCAGAAAGGAAAAAGAATTTCACACTTTTCCTTTCGAGAAAAAAAGGATTAGGAAAAGCCTATTGATTAGAGTTTTCTCCAAACCTTCGGGAAAAGCATGAAAAAAAGTCTTGAATGGCAAAATTCCATCGTCACCCCACCGAAAAGGGCAATCTCGTAGTTCTTGGTCTGTGAAGATACGTTATTACACCATTTGTGAAGGTCTCTACTTATGCTCGCTACTTAGGACAGTTAAGGTTTCTACCGCCATTTAACGGGCCTTCCATTTAAAGCTTATAACACTTCTCCTTCTGACCTTACAGCACCGGGCATGTCTTAGACTCTATACATCATGTTACCACTTAGCAGAGTCTTGTAATTTTAATAAACAGTCGCTACCCCCTGGTATGTGCTGCTTTCCTAATCATAAGATAGGAGAGCACCCATTCTCGAAGTTACGGGGTTATTTTGCCGAGTTCCTTCGACATGGTTCTCTCAAGCGCTCTAAGTATCTTGCAACTCTCTCTCAATGAGTCAACAAGATTAGATACAGTTTAACATTTATTAAACAACTGAAAGGAAAATCATGCAATAAAGTTGAGGCAAATTGATTACATCACAATAAGGGTACTCTATCACCCAATCCTAACAATTTAGCTCATTCTTGGGTGGAAAGAAACAACAAAAAGAAAATAAGATTCCATAGATCTAAGATAAGAAAAACAGGGACGTTGCTGTAGCACTGCTTTCGCAGCAACCATGAGCTCCACCATCATCAACCTTGCCTCAACCGCCGGAATAGTGCAGGGATCCACCGTATTCAATGATGTCTCTATCAAACCCTAGCCTCACCTTTGATCTGTTAGATCTCTCTTAATAAATCCTCAAACTCTCTCTAAGTGTTTCGCGGCTTGGATCTCCTCCAAAAGCCCACCTTCTCTCTAAAAGAGAGGTTGTCCAGCCTCAGAGAGAGACTCTCCAACCCGTTTGATGTGTGTAGGCTTCCTCTTTTTATAGACTTTGATGAATTGGGCTTTAATCAGCTCTTCAAATCCATTACAAATCATGTTCAAATCTGCTCTGTTTTGCTGCAGCTACAGCTAGCTTGATTTGCTTAAAGATTCTTTCCTTTTTGCTGCAGATATGATTGAAGATACAACTCTGTATTGCTATAGCGCTGAAGATTCTTTCCTTATTTGCTGCATATATGATTGAAGATACAACTTTGTTTTGCTACAGCGCTGATCAGGGACAGAG